ATCTGGATCCCTGAACCCATCCAAACTCAACATTTTAAACACTTTTTTTGATGTGGTATGGAGCGTGTTGCACAAACACGTACACGTTGGCCAAAAAGAAAAAATAAAAATCCACGTATGATATTATATACCACGTGGCAAATGACTCACCTTAAACTAAGAATAGTCCTAACTCCGGCGAAATTTTTCAAACCTTCGCGACTTTTACACTTCTCCTCTTCTCCTCTTCTCTTCTCCTCTCCGCGACGTTCGTCTGTGATTTTCCTCCAAACCTTCGCTCAGTTGAAGCTCAGTTCCACTCCGATTTTCGTTGTAAGTTCTTGCCTTTTGCGTTATTCTGATCTTTTTCATTTTCTCGCGCGTATCTGTTTGATTTTAGGGTCGATTGTCATTCGATTTTCTGAAATTTTTTGGGGATTTTACTTTGGTTTAGATGTAATATTAGTGTAATATGCTTTCTTAGTTGATGTATGACTTTGAGTGACTTCAATGGCATATTTCGTGAATTCGAGTAGATTCTAGGGTTTATTCGTAAAATCCCAATTTCAACTAAAATTAATATTTTATTTCTGGTCAATTGTCTTGGGTATTGATAGTGTTAGTGGAGCATTATTACAGCAATTACAGTCATGGTAAGTTAATGGCTTTAACTGTTACAACAATTCATTATTTCCTTAAAAAAATTAGGGATTTTTGTATTACAATCATGGTAAGTTTATGGTTTAACTGTAGTTATTATTTTTGACTTTACAGGCATCGTAAGGTAATGGCTTTAACTATAGTGACACTTCAATTTCACTATGGGGGCTGTTTTGTATCTAATCCTACTTTAAGGTATGTCAATGGAATCAGTAGTGTTGAAAAGATTAATATAGATGTAGATGAGTTGCATATTATGTTATTTCATAAAATAGCAATGGAATTGGGTGTTGAAAATGTTGAGACATTTGGATGTAGAGTCAACAAGAAGGGTGTTTTTTACATGTTAAATACTGATTCTGATGTTTTAAACTTTCTGAATGGTTTGAAGGGTGCTGATTTTGTTGATGTATATGTTGTACATCCCATTAGTATACCTTTAGTTGTAGAGGAGATACTTGTATTGCCTAGCACTAATGCTGATGTGTCCTCATCTCCACAACAAAATAATGCTGATGTGTCCTCCTCCCCACACAAAAATAGGGCTGATCTGTCATCCTCCCCACAAATAGATAGGGCTGATGTGTCTTCATCTCAACCATTTGATGAAAATGAAAATAGGGATTTAAACCAAAATCAGCCCCCTTTAGTTGAAGAGCAGTCCCCTTTAGTTGAAGAACAAGCCCCTGCCCCTAGAGTTGAAGAACATTCTGATTCTGATTCACTCTATGATATTGATGAAAATATTGATGATTTGAGTGATTTGGATGAGGAGTTGCTTCAAGCTAGGCAGTCTAATATTCAAGAACAAGTTAAAGAAAAGACTGCTAGAGTAAATCTAGATGAGATACCATCTGGTCCTGTAGGTATAGATGCTGGTTTTGAAGACATTTATAAGGAGAAGAGGGGGAGATTTGAAGGCAATTTGGGTGGTGATGACCCTTATTTTGATAGCTCAGATCCTGGTAGTGACATTAGTGAAGATGAAGGGGATCCTGTTGAGAATGATGAAGTGGTAGATCCAGCACCTAGGAAGGAAAGTACAAAGATCTACTTTGATCCAACTGCTAAAAAGGTTTTATTTCAACTGTATATGGTATTTTTGAATCACATAGAGTTCAGGGAGGCACTGCAAACTTACTATATTCAGAAGGGTGTTAATATTAAGTTGAAACCTAATGAGAAGGAAAAGATAAGGACAAAGTGTAA